AATTTAATATAACAATCAATTTTAGGACAAAATAAACTAATATTTTTGCATAAAATAAATGTAGGCATTAAGATATTATTTACATTAATAACAATGGACTAAGCTAATCTATGAGCTATGCTAAAAAAGGAACTTGAATGAACCGATAAATGAAAGATATAACAGGCCAAGCTGTTAATTACATTTGTTCTTGTGAACTATAGTTTATATGCTGTAACAACCTGTAATGCAGTTTTATCAAACCAAACGGTCTGAATATTGAAATTTTGATAACATAGGATAAAAAATCGGCTGCATAACTAGCAGTACAACTGTAATCGAAGCGAACATGCCGAGTTTTAGCATTCATGTTTATGTTCGAATGTTGTTCGTTTATTTTTCATTATTCGAGCTCCTTGGTTTAGTTGTTCGTCAAATTTCGAGTTTGTTCGTACTCGAATAATTTAGTAAAAGAACCTTTTTTAAAATTAACAAATGAACAAGCTCATGTGGAACAAGAACAAGTTTTTATTCGCAAACGTTTGGTTTGTTAAAAGCCCTCGAGAAGTTCCCAAGGAGAAGGTCGCGGATCATAGCTGCAAACCGAATGAACTGGAAACAATCACTGAGAATATCATGGAGGACTGTGATAACTGCTTAAAGCCACACTCTAGGGAAAGGAAAATCATCGACTTCCGAGTGAAAAGCTACACTTGAGTTGCGATAATTTGTTATCGGGATAGGAATGTCATTTTGTTTTCGATAGAAGCATATTTTTCGTCTTGAAAAGACATTTTTGCTTTCGATAGAAGCATATTTTTTCGAAGAGGAAATCGGTTAAGAGTGATGAGGCATCGGGTTCTTTCCATTTGTTGATTACTGACAGCCAATGCACAAACACATAAAGAAAGTTCATTGAAAGGATATGAAGATTCTGCCTGAAGAAAATAAAAAGGGAAAGAAGAAAATGGGTTTTAGAATGGAATATATGAAAACGACCCACTTTCATTTAGAAGATATCAACTTGATTATGAATGAGCTAGAGTGACAGTACATTCAAAGTTTTATATTCTGATTTTGGTTCGATTTATATTATTTTCTAGACGACTCGAGGTTTCAAATTTTAAGCTACAGTGAGTCTGTATTCGCTTCGTGCGCGGGAAGGCAACGAAGTGAAGTTCATCAGACCGCAGCAGGGAGACAGTTATGTGGCACAAACAAATGATAAAAGTACGACATTTTCGAGTATAATAAGTATTTATGTTTGCATAGGGCTGAGCATGAGACTCGAAAAATTTCGAACCGTTCCGAAAATCGAATCAAAATCACTCCGAATCGAAAAATAACCGTTGACCATTTGACTTCCTCTGAACTGAACCGAACCGAAAAAACAATTAGTACGGTTCTGGAGATTTCACAAATATCCGTACTGAGAACCGAACCGAACCGAACCGAACTGTATCATACCATACCGAACCGAAGAACCGAAATTAAGAACAAAATTATAAAAGTAGATGTCATGAGTTATTAATATATTTTATTTCAACTTTGATCCTATATAATTTGAGAATTTTTAAAATGCAAATAAAATATAGTAATAACAATTAAGTTTCACTTAAATTTCATGCTTAGTAATACTTGATCTACAATCAATTTTTTCTTGTTTAAGAAAAATATTTAAAATGGAATGAACTGTTAAAGAAATATTTTTTTAAAAAAAATATTTAAACTTTACTTAAATTTGTCGATACTGAGTGATATTCTATCTTATAACTAACATGGTATAGAAGGTTACGAAATATTACTTTAATAAAAAACTATATTATATTTTGTTTGAATTTTAATTTTTCAATGTTAGTTGCACAAATTTAGTCTTAACTAACATTTAGAGTTACTTCCAAACTTGATTTATAAATAAAATCATTAGTATGATAAAGTATTGATGAATGTTGAATTTTTTTAAAAAAAAATATATATAAAAAATAAAATATAACTAGATGATCATTCAAAAAAAAATTTAAAAATGATACAAAATCTCTGAATATCCGAACCGTTCCCATAGTCCCGAAAACAAAATCAAACCAAAAATAAAAATCTCCGAACAAGACCGAACAGATTTTTTAATACAGTTCTGAAAATCGAATTTTAGTGATCTCCGAACTTCAGTACAATTCTAAAAATTTCTCCGAACAGGACCGAACAAATTTTTTGATACAGNTAAAAACTGAAATATACATTCTATTCAATTTTTTAAATTTATCCTATCTCATAATAATTAAAAAATTATATATATATATATATGATTTTATTAGAGTATTAAATATACTAAGCCTAATAAGGAACATTTCAATATTAAAATGCGATAATATTCTATTTTAAAGTATTTGCCTTTATTTGCAATCATATTATGTTATGTGAAAAATAAGATTTCTTAATTAAGGATAATGATTTTCAATGGAACAAAAATAATATAGTTTAATTGTCAAATTAAAACATCATGCTAAAAATGTCTATTCAATTGATAGGAATTCTCTTGTTAACATCCTATAAATAAATTAAACCTCATAGTCGTACTAGAACCAGTAACCACGATAATTTAATTAAAATTATTAGCCAAGCCATTAATTTTCTTTCGTAAAAATCACTATATAATCACTTAAATTAGATTGGCAAACTAAGAACTCTTATTTATTTTTTATTTTTACTTTTTTCTGGGGTACGTGATCTTATTATGAAATCTCGGCACACACATTTGGTAGGACAAGTCCGATTATATGTATAAAAATATGGACTTACCAATTTTTCCAAACTTTAAGGAGATTTACACAAATTTTCAAACTTATTATCATAATTTAGTTGATTTGGCCGGATTTTACGCATTGACTTTTTTTAATTCAAAAAAACTTGACAAAGGCGGGATTAAAGAAAAATTTTACCAATAATAGAGAAAACGAAATTTTTTGGGTTGGAATCTTCATGCTATTTTTAGATTTTTCCTTTATTGCTATTATATAGTAATAGATAATGAATTGTATACGTAAAGTTTATATGTGTCCTATTTCAACGGATGATCTACGAGGTTGATTATNGTCAAACAAACAAATTTATATCACCCAAATAAGGGTACTAGTACATCGCATAATCAAATGATTACAGAGCTAGAGATGTCCAAAAGCAAATCATCACAAAGCCACGAGAAAGGTGAAACCTTCCCCTCCAAAGACCAACAAGGTCATGAAACATAAAAAACACAACCAACTAAGATTAAAAAACTACACAAGCAGAGATATTACAAGCTTCAAACAAACCTAAAATGTCTTTAACTAACTGCAAATAAGGAGTGCAATTTCTCCATGTGGGCACTAACTTCTACTTACGTGTATGGCTGCAAACGAATCGAGCAATTTGTGAGCTGCTCGCGAGCACTCTAGTTAAAGCTCGGTCCGAGCATATATTGAGTCGATCCCGAGTATATGTTTTGAAAAGACGAGCCGTTCGCGTGCGACTCGAGATATGTAGTGAATTATTAAAATATCCTTCATATATAAATATTACAATATTTTATATATATACTTAATGGTTTTACTTGAAATTTGAGTCGAACTCAAAAAAATAAAAAAAAGTCAAACTCTATCTGAGCTTGAGCAATCTTTCGAGCATTTTGATTTCAATCAATCTCGAGCTGAGCTCGAGTGATTGACTTATTTTGTCGAGTGAATCTCGATGACTTGCCAAACGGTTTCCAGTATGCCTATACAGTTAGTCTTTACACACATGATAGTGGCAGCCAGGTTGTCGACGATTCTACAAGAGGCGGCCGCTGGAAAACCCGAGTCTCGCAGAGCCTTAGAATTGTTATACGCTTCTGCCGATCGTTGGCAAGATGGAGTAAGCTTGAGGAATTCTGATGGATCAACCAGGATTCGCCTACGCATGTTCTTAGACCAGAATAATCAAATTCTAAGTGTCGCTAGGGCCGGAGATTACCTTCGGGTAATGAATTCGACTATCCCTTGCACCCTCCTCAACCGCAGGATGTAAGTGTAATAGGGACAATTTTGAAAGATCATGAAGGTGGACAAACCAGTGCTGTTGGGGAAGCCTAGCCTAGATAAGAAAAAATAAAAGAGGATCCATGTAATTGAGAAACCTCTGGTTTTTTTTATGTAAAGATCCTAAAGGGACATTTACGCACTCATTCTCTCTCATCGAGATCGGTTACCGAAATCGATTGGACTTCATTCGAACAGTAGGGAGCCCAACTAAGGATCTTATTGAGGAGCATAGATGTCAAAGGCCAGTGAGTTAGAATAACGTCATAAATCGAGCTTGACAAGCTTGAGCAGATAAAAAAGAAAATCAATCTTGCTCAATAAGATCAATGCTCGAGTCGACTCGACTCGGCTCGTTTGCAGCCCTACCCACCTACGTGTGCAAGAACAAAGGTTTTCAATGGCATCGGATAAAAAAAAAATGATCAAATAATATGGATCTAATTCAAGCGAGGGCCCTGAACATGAATGACAAGGAAAGTGGATCGATCAATTCACATCACACAAGTCACCTTATGCTTGATTGAATATAAATAAAATCAATTTAACTGATTTTATTAATTAAAGTGAGTTAATTTCGAATAAAGATGATTAAGTGGATAAGTGAATTTTAAAATTGTATTTAATATTATTTAAAATATAATAATTAAAATTATAGAGATGTAAAAGTAGGATATAAGTTATTAAAAATGATAGATATATAAAAATATGTAAATAAATTAATATTAATTAAAATTGATGTGACATGTGATGATGATTAATCAATATTATTTAATTATATTGATAATATTGAAGAGAGTTAGATTGAATTAAATTTGAGTTGAATTTTAAGTTAAATAGTGTAAAAAATTATCCGAAACTAATATAGCTGATAGCCAATTGGCACCCTAAAACACCCACCTAGACCTAGTAGCGGGTTCGATAGAGGTCCCGGTGCATGTGAACAAAAGAACTCGGTAACAAAAGTATGGAACATAAACTACAGGGAATATCCCACATCGTTTCAAAATTTGAACTAATCAAAGCATCGAATACGAGCTGACGGTACCCACCTTCAGATATTTGGTGATACCATCATCCATTTCACAACAAAGAATTCACAAGGACATAAAAGTATGGGCAAACATTTCCAACAAGCTGTCAAAATAGCCAAGCACATCAAATCCATATTTAGAACGAGTTATAATGAATCTCAAATCCAGCTGTTTGGTTTCACTCTTTAGAAAAGAGTGAACTTATCCACAACTGAGCCCAAGTAGAGAATGTCGTACAATTTCCCACAGCAAATGAAGGTTAATATAATTATGACAGCTAGAGTGTGGAGATTGGTGAAAATGGAAAACAGAAGTTAAAAGCGCATCACAAACAAGCATAATAAGGTCTTCATTTTGGCTTTTTCTTGTAGTTCAAACTTCAAGCACTAGGTATATTAGACTGCCAAATATCAACCTGTTCTCATAATAATGTGAACACCGCTATCAGTGTCGACAATGTCACTGATTTCACCAACCTTCAAACTAAATGCAGCTTCTTCAAATGGTTTCTGCATCTGACCACGGCCAAAAGGACCTAAAACGGGCATACAGAAATTTTTTTATAGCAAGTATCCAATAATNTCATATCAAGGGCCTAATATTTACACTTGATTAATACGTATTGAATACAACAAACATTGGAATCCAGCCTAAATCCATATTTATCATTAATGAATGAAGAGATTTATAAGCTTATCTGCAGTATAAGCCTGTTCAAAATGAATATAACAATAGAATTGAACAGACAATTTGGAACGTGGGCCCCTCCCGCCAGTAATCAACTTCTAATATACATTTCATTTTCATTTTCCTATTCTATTGGGAAAAAAATGTATACCTACTCCATATAGTGTTCCTATGCAAAAGGACAACCATGAATTTGTGATGATGTAGCCAGCACAAAAAATTTCACAACCCAAAATGTAAACAAGTAGCACTAACAATGAACAACAAAGTTAAGGAAGAAAACTATGTTAACTGGTCTTGTGGGAATTTGAAAAATAAAAAAATATCTGCATCCAGTATATTTTTTTAATATTGACAAAGTAAAGAGCAGCATTGAGTAGCATTTATTTACAGTCAGAGCTTGACTACCGTTGTTAGCTTAGCAAGAAGCTGAGAATGACAAAGACATGTTTAGGATGGACTAGCATGGCCAATTTATGTATCTGGACATAAAGTACATCTTCATGTAAATAAGAAAGGGAGAAGAAGCTTGATGTTTAAGTGAACAATCAAGAAAGCAGGACATTTGAGCATCAACCTTGGTGCATCACACAAGCAAATCTAGCTTCCGTAAAAGATTAAAAACAAAAATTTGCAGTACATTAGTTGTTGGAACTTCCAATCTTAATGTTCAGGTAACCAATCTAGTTAAAACATCTATAATCCAGATGTCAGCTCTAACCCAGATGCACGATAGATTAGACAAGGATATCACAAACCTGGATTGTTTATAAACATACCGACAATTAATTTCCAGTATTATAGCATCAGAATAACTAGAGAAGCTATCGTGTAGTATACTATACGAAATCATTATCATATATGAGGCCGTATTCATTGCCTTTAGTGGCATACCAAAGTATCTTAAGATCTAGTTAAATATCATCACATGTTTGCACTTTACATGAACGATCACATACACCAAATACTTACTAGTACAGGTTCATAACTCATTAGCACGCTCTTCGAAATCCCAAATTCAATCAACTTCAAGTCAAGTCCAATCTTAAACTCTAACCATACAGTCTGATTTACAGAAGCCAGCATCAATACCACTGCATTATAATTCTAGTTTCCTCTCTACAGAACGATGTAGACTAATGTTATACATCATATTATTTCATTAAAGCTTCAAACAAAACCATAAAATTACTCTCAAAGTATTCTAAATCAAATAAATAATGTTAAACCCAAAAGACCATACAACCCCATCCAAGCTCTTGTATAAACAAAAAAACGATACCGAGATCGCCGCCGCGCTTGGCCGAGCTGCAGTCTGAGAATCGAGAAGCTACGTCGTCGAACCTCGCCTTGCCGGCGAGGATGTCGTCGCGGAGGGTTTTGAGCTGGGCGACGGCGCTGTCCCTGGTGGTGGCCGAGATGCGACGGCCCTCGGGGTCCTTCCAGGAGGATTTCCGGCGGGATCCCTCGTGCTTTATCAGTATGTGCGACGCCTTGACCTGCTGCCTCGACGACATTTTTTTCCCGATTAGCAGCTGCCGGCCGATGAGGATTGCGAGAGATTGAGAGAGAAAATGAAGGGGATATTCAATATTTTACTCTCGATGGGTTGGTGCTAAATGGGCCAATCTGTGTGGGAAATACCCATTTTTTGGGTTTATTTATTTTAATTTGATTTGATTAAGGGCTCGCGTAAATGTCAAGCGACGTCGTGGGGTTTGACTACATGAGAAATAAAGTGCAATTGATTCTTTTTTGCTTTTTAGGCCGTCCAACTATTCAAATAGTCCCATATGTTTTAATAAAAACATACATTTTTAATTTTTTAGTACATATAATATATACTAGTAATCAACTTTTACATTTGCACAGAAAAGAATATTTTAAAAAGATAACAATATAAATAAAAATAAAAATAAATTATAATTTAATTCATGAAAAAAAATATGAATTAAGAAAATAATTCTCAAAATTGATTTTGATCAAGTAATTACTATGGAAGAGCCGTTACAATCATTTTCTTTATGCTAATACACCCGGCCATTTTCATGAGTGAGTGTGACTTAAAATTTGAGTACAATTTTGTAACTTAAAAATGAAATTGAATGTTGAAAATTTTGGAGGGAGACTAAAATTTAATGCATGATAATATAATTTAATGCTTTGTTGTTCCTCTTTATATATATATATATATTTATACAGATTAGAAAATAATTTAAAGTTGCTATATATTATGTTTAATAATTACATTTCATGATATTGTTAATAGTGTTTTATTAAAAAAAAACATATATAATCAACTTTAGTCCTTTAGGTAGATGAATTTTTGTGTTGTTTAAATTACTATTTTTGACGAAAATTGATTATTTTTGTTTCAGAGTTTTGCTATGAAGTTTTTTGATGACACAATCTATAGATCCATCGGCAGTTATGACAAATGATGTATTAACACATGCTATGAAATAAATATATATTAGGAATTTGTTCAAAACTCCATAAATTTAATATTTTCTTTCATATTGTTGTGGATTAAAATTGAGTGACAACATCCTTATAATCATTATTTTCAGTTACCACTTTTTTTCTTTAACATTTAAAGAGGTTATAGATAACATGCATGTAAATAAATATGAATGTTTTTCAGAATATGTCATTATTAAATTAAAAAAAAAAAAGGTTTAAAGAGCTACTTTATTAGCATCTTGGTTGCAAAATTTGAGAAGCATCTTCTTCTACCCACAGCAGTATAATAGGCCAGCAATAAAAGCCCACAAATAGTCCTTTACAAAGTATATTACTTGGGCCGTATATCAACAGCTGGGCCAAACGCTAACATAAACCAAAAAGGGTGAACGAAAATTCCCATCATATCTTTTATTACTCTGTCTGTTGTGTCGAAGCTCGCAACAATGGCGCCGCCTCCTGGACCTTACTCCGGCACCAGCAGCATCGCATTGGTAGCCTCCGTGAGACACTCGATCTATTTATTACACATATTTTATTTACAATAAATCATATATTGTAATAGGTATTAACTTGAGATGTCTTTCTTGTGATTTGGGGACAGGTTGCTAGGGTTTCTGCATTCTCATTCGGACTTGTCTATGGTAGCGTGAAGCTTAAGTTTCTTAAGGTATTTTTTTTCTTTTCGAATTTCGTTTCATTTGCTTTTGGTTAGAGGAATTGAAATGGAATTTGAGTAGATATTGATCATACAAACTGTATTGAGCATCTTACTTAGTTTCACTGGTTATCAATGGTTTGGTATACATTGTTTCTACTTCTCACATTTGGTGGTGATGGTTTATATTTCTTAGTTTAAGTTGTTCTGAGAGCTTCTTTGCTAGGAATCTGAAGCTGAAATTCGATTTGTGATTAACATCTACACTTAATTTGAGGCGATTCTTGTTCTGGGAAATGATAAGTTTTGAAAAAATGGATTTAGTAAAGGTTTGAGGGGCATGAGATAATTGGTAGATTGGATCCTATATGTGTGTGCAATGCCTATAAAGTGAAATGTAGTGAGATATTTTATATAGTTTAAATGTTTAATCATATCAAATCCAAGCACATACTATAAGGTGATCTTGAGGTTACTACAAATGCTCTCGATTTCCATTTAAGTTGTTATTTATTTGCAAAAATGGCCCAACATTCACTTTTATAAGCAAAGAAACTACCTTTGCGATGTGGGGTTGTTCTTTTCTTTAATAAGCTTGCATGATATATATAGTATTTGTCAATGACGTGTTGATGGCCATTCTTTCTTTTGTTTTATTTCTTTGTTTTAAAATGCCTTGTATTGTAACAAAGTTTCATAACCGTTCGATTGTTTCATGTTTTCCATTTTGCATAGTTACCATCTGTTTCCAAACCTTATCCTTTCTCTGCAGGCGAAGGCTAAGTCACAGAAGAAGACCGAAGCCAAAGGGCATCACTAGAGGACCTTTCCCTTTCTTTTCTTTCTTTCTTTTTTTTTTTTCCCTATGCCTTTTCTTTTTATTGTTGGATAAAAATGAGGAGCTGATGAGCTGGACCGGATGTTACAATCTTGTAAAATTCAGTCTACATACACACATTGTTTCGTTCTCTGTGATTTTGTTTTGACTTAATCAATGCAAATGAATCTACGAATTCAAATGTTTATAACATTAAGAAGCGTACTAGCATGTTTGTATCGTTTCCAAAGAAGTGATTCTGTCATGNTGGTACAATTCTAGCCAATGTCTTTAACAAAAAGCTACAAAAGTCTCGGTTCATTTTAAAAAATAAGAATTAATTAAAAAATATTAAAAAAATTCAAAAAAAGAAGTGTTGAACCGTGGGTTCCGATTTTGGTGCCAAACCTGCCTGGCGGTTCAAAAGATACATATATGTGACCCGAAATCGGCCCGGTTGAAAGTTCAAGGCCTGTTGACTACGGGTCGTTTTCGGGCCGCGTGGTCATGTCTAGTCAAGGGTCATCTGAACAAATAATATTTGTGAGAAGGCTAAACTATAAATACCACATAAATATAAGATGCAAACTCATCCTCAAGAAGAAGTGAAGGAGACTACGAAACCCTAACACCCAAAATCCAAATCGAGACCGGCCACCGGGGACTCACGTTCTCTGGCTCCTCAAATCCCACTTCGGTCCCAACGTCCCTCTTCTACTCTCTTGTTCAGGTATTGATGGCTAAATCTTTCACTATTTGAATGTTTTCTTCTTTACCTGTGGCTAGATTTGAGGAGGAGTCTGCAAAAATTGATTTAATTTATGAGTCCAAAGTAGTTGAAAAAGGTTATTTACTATTTGAAAATGGCAGATGTGGAAATCGTCTCCAATCTAATACCCGATAAAGTTCAGCCTCAAAACGACAATTTGATGATTGTGGTGCAGCGTGTAAGCAAAGGGGCAACCCTCGATTGCTCTGTGATCTCAACCAAAAACAATTATTTCAAAGTGCTGAATCAAGATGATGATGTTGATGAAGATAATCTTCGAATTCCAAATTTGTCTTGGCTCAGAGCTGAAAACTACGATTGCTTTTTTAAGAATGCCAATCAACATGTTCTAGCGACGTTCCAATCTTCGAAGATTAAAAAAAGGCTGATATCAGTGGCTTTTATTATTGGATATCAGTGAATCTCAATTATCCGAGTCATCTTTGTGTAATTTCATTTGATTTTGTTATGAGGAGTTTCCTCGTGATGTTATCCGGGGAGCAAGATTGTTAGGGAAATCACGCTTAGCTGTGTTTCTCTTGTCGAGTTTCGTGGGTTGTTGGCCGCTATTGTGTTTGATTGGCATGGCAGAAGAAGAAAAGTAAGAAAAGCAAGAAGAGGAATTACACATCATCATCGCGTTTTGTTTTTGGTCACATGAATCTACTCACTAAGTTTGAGTAATGTAATTTTTTTATTTTTTTTATTCTAATTATCTTATATACATGGGCTCCGAAAACGCTGCAAATTATATATATGCCCCCAGAACTGGGCTCCGAAAAAAAAATACCGGCCATGAATCAAATCAGGCCCAGAGAGATTCTTTAGAAAGACAAGAAAGGCCACAGCCCAAAAAAATAAAACTACCACCCAGGCTGCGAAAAAAAAAAAAATTGTCTTCATCATCATCATCCCCTCCACAATAAAAATTACAAACCCACAATATTTATTATCAATAAATTAAAAAAAGGCTGATACTTTTGGGTTTCCGGGGTTTGATGTCCAGTTTTTGTTGCTGGGTTAGTGTTCTTTGTCGTGGGTGTGACTCGGTAGCCAGTTTAGGTAGTTGTGGGGTTCAGTTGCTAGGTTTAAGAGAGGTATTATTCTACTTTGTTTATTAGGTATAAGTTATTTTTATCTTCTGTATTTTTGTTTTTGGTTAAATCCAGGCGTCTGGAGTCTCTGTTATTTTATAATTGTCTTTTGAAAAACAAAAAACAAACTAAGCTATTTACACTGTTCATTATAAAAGACCAAAACACATCGTCTTACGCTAAAACATTAGTTAAAACCAAACTCTAACAGGGTGTAAAACAAAACACCTCTGAGGAGTAAAATTTACAATTTTGCAAATCCCCAAAACAAATTAACATGGGTCTTGGGGTCATGGGTCTCCAAAATTACATATATGCCCCCACCACTGGGCACCAAAGGAAAAAAGAAAACATTAGCCCATGAACCAAATCAGGCCCAGAGAGATCCTTTAAAAAGACAAAAAGCCACAGCCCAAAAAAACAAAATTACCCAGGCTGCAAAAAAAATTGTCTTCATCATCTTCGTCCCCTCCAGGCCTCCACAATAAAAACCCCATAATATTAATTGTAAAAATAAAAAGACTGGTTTTTTTATTTGAAATTAAAAATAAATAAATAAAAAATGTTGAATTTTTAATTATTCGAGCATTGAAGTTAGGGACCGGAAAACGACTTCTTCACAAGGAATGGTGAGGCCCATTTCATGGTCGAACCCAAATTCCTCCTCGGCCCGCCTCAGCAGGCCCTGGAACTCGGGTCGGGTCAGGTAAGAGATGGGCACAATGTACCGGGTCCGGTTCTCGCCCACATAGACCGGGAAATGGCCCCTTGGCACGTCCGTCGGCAGCCCACCGTCGCCGCCGCCGTAGCTTCCGTCGTCGCACACGTAGTTCCTCTTGCCGAGGCTTGAGCACCGTCGCAGGATCTGCTTCAGGGCAGCCGCCGGCGGCAGCTTGCTCTGCTTCTTGATGCCCATTTTCCAGCTGAAATTAGAAATTTAAATGGATTTTTTTGTTCTTTTTTGTTTTTAGTTTGATTTTTAGAGGCTTTGAAGAGGAAAATGGAGGTAGGCGGTGAGGATTGAAGGGGGTGGTGAAGGTATTTATGGAGAAGGGTGTGGACCCGTAGGGGTGGAAATTCGGTGCTAGGATTGAATTTAGTTTTAATTTATATGTTTATTTATTTTTATTTTTAATTTATATATATATATATGGAAAATGTTACAAGTATATAATAAATGTACATAGAAGTTTACATAACACTCACGTGACATGGAGTGTGGCCAACTTGATTTTTTATTTTTGGTAGGTCCCACTCAATGTGAGTGTTATGTACATCCTTACGTACAATATTATGTACCTATAGCAATTTTCTCTCTCTCTAATATATATATATTAAATGAGCCGAGCTTGAAACAACTAATGAAGCTTGTTTATTAAACGAGTTGAACTTGTTTATTGACATCTCGTTTTTATTTTCATACTTATGGAGTGTTGAATGATATAGTTGAGCCGGACTTATTCACAAATAGATATTTCATATTTATTATCAATTCACTTAAAGGTTTTAGGTTTTGAGTCAAATCGAGTTTTCACGAACTTAGACGAGTACGAGCTTGAATGAGAACTACTCAACTCGATTCCAAAAATAACTTTAATTATATGTGTGTCATTTATTTCTATAATCAGAGTTTTTCAATCATACCATGTTCATGTTTCAACATTACACTCCTACTGTGGAAAGGACCTACCACGGGGTTTTGGGCTGATGTTATGATGATGAGTACAAGGGGACAGTGTGGGCCCGAGCCCAATGGCTGTGGGGATCACATGTTGGGCTACTTATGCTAATGGGGGCCTTTTTTATCATGGGCCAATACCAATTTCTACCCGTAATTGTTGCGTTTAGAGGAAATATCTACATTATCGATTTTGATTTTTATGCATTAGTCAAAGTTGATAACAAAAGTGGAAATTTTTTAAATGGGGAAAATATTGACAGGTCTTTTTCAAAAACCATAATGACGAGTATTTGGCCGTGGTTGAAAGGTTCTTATCAAAAGTGAAATTACACTTACTTCACTAATCATATACATAATTAACTAGCAACACGCTTTAGCCCAAATTGCGTAATGCAGTCTTTTTTTATTAATTTCTAGGATTGCAAACGAATCGAACGGCTCTAGAACGTTCGAGTCGAGCTCGATATATAATTTGTACTTGAGTTCTTGACAAGCCACTTGAATATACGTAAAATAAAATAATCCTAACTATCTTTTTCTTTTCTTCAATTAAAATTTTAAGTTAAACTCAAGAAAAATTTGTACCAATCTCAAGCATTTGTATTTTTTTGTTGCACGATTTGAGTTCGAGCTCAAAGTCAACCAGCTGTCAAAAGAATCGAGCACAAGGTCAATGCTCAACCCAATATGTGTGAGTGGATTTTTCTTTATACATTATAAAATTATATTTTGGCTCCTTTAACCACGTAACCTAATTATATATATGTGTATATATTAGTTTATTTAAATTTGTTAATTGTGTGTATGTGAAGGGACACATAACAAAGAAAAAGCAAAAGAAAATTGGAAGACGATTTTTGGCCTCACACATGGCTTTCACCGCATTTTGGAGTCGATTTCAGGTTTCAACATCACAAATTTGTTCGGTACTTTGCCAATTGCCAGTTTACGTTTCCAAACATTCTTTCTCAATCTCCCATACGCTTTTAATTCGTCATCTTCTTATCAATATTATCCTCCATAATATATATGTTTGTTTTTTCATCATTAGTTCAAGAAAAAAAAAATATATATATTTTTCACCCTTTAATCACAATTTGTTGGTAAATATATCAACTTTTAGATCGAAGCAAATGTTTTATGTCAAGATTATTTTCGCCAAAATCCAAATAAGAAAAATAAATCAGGCACAAAATAAAATTTATAGTTAAGTTTCAATATATTAATTTATTATCAAACAAAATAGATAACGAACAAACTTACACAATTTGTCAGAATCACTTTCGTCTGGCATTTTGTGAAGCTTGTGATTTCTGCTAAATTAATGTCAGCATAAAGAACACAAAACAAGCTGCTGCAGTAAATTCATGCAGAAAGCCATGTGAGGGATTACTTTTCAGGTTTGACTGTATCATTAAACAAACAAATAGAAACAGTTTTATCAACAAATTATTGAAATTCAGTACGAGCTTCTTTACTGCCTTATTTAATTAATTAGATTATTAACAACTAAAGTGTAAACAATTAATACGAATCTAGATAATCAACTAGATAATTAATTAGATTCTTTTGCACACCGTGACTTCTTTGATTGGATGTTGACATATTGTATTTATTTTATCTTAATTTCATCTGATATGTCCATCTAACATGCATTTGTTGAAGGCAGATTTGCGTTTGAAAAATATAATAATGTTTCAGTGATACAAAACTGAAGCACCCCAAACCAAAGTAATTCATTCAAACTACATTATTTTAATTGTTAGTGGATGAATAATATTTTTTGTTGGAAATTGTATAATAATGATAAATTGATATTATTAATTTTATTGATAATATTGAGAAGAGTTAATTTAAATTAGATAAAATTAAATTTTGACCTAAAAAGGTTTTATTCAATCATAGTTCCATAAAAAAAAATTAAAATCCAACGAGTCAAAACCAAAAAATTATTTCCAATCGCAATAAATCAAGATCATTCATATATATTGGAAATTTGGTATGGAAGACGACAACCTAACAATTAATTATTGAAATTTTGAAAATTGTGATAAGAAAACACGTGAACTTGCCACACCAAGTACAGTAAAATCTTGGTAAAAGTAAGATAATAGATTTGAAGAGTAGAGTCTATAGACTAGAGTCGTGAGTCTATTTTGATTCCACCCAAAAATCCGTGATTTAACGGTCCCCATTTGAGAAATTTTGATATTCTTTTCGTGAACACTCTTTACCACCGTACGATCTACGCATCCGTACAAATTGCATGTAAATGTGTGTATCGTGTGGTGGTGGCACGATCGAATTTTCCCGTGATGCCCAAATAACCATATTACCCGCTCCAAGTTAACAACGATCAACTGACAGAATATATATTTTTTATTTTTTAAGTAAAGCACCAATGAATTTGATAAATAAATAAATAAATAAATAAATAAAGCACCAATGAATTGTCAGGCTTCAAATAAAAAACCTATTCAAACTTTCTCGTTGATACCAATGTCAAATGAATTTTCAAATAAGTTAACGAGTAGACTTCATTTTTGTATTTTTTTTTTTAAATTAAATTTCTCATGTTTGATTCTAATCCCACAAAGCCCGAGCACGAGCCCGAGCCCGAGCCCGCTCACAATCAAACTAAGGCAACTAGGGTCTAGGGTGGTATTGTGGTCCTGACCTTACTGAAACCAACAGCAGAAGATAAAATAGTAATTACATGGGACAAAGGCCATTTTGAACAAGAACCACATGATAAATTTACAGCACTGTATTATTATATCTGGCTGCATTCCAAAAAAAGTTAATAATATCAGCATTCAGTTTCAGCATGTTCCAAGGCTCAGAAAGCAGCACTATTTTCATTTATATAGGGTGATGGGTATATTTTGTATCTACATACAAATATTTCTAGCTATAAGAGTGAGATTTAAAAAAAAACAAAAACAAAAACAAAATCAAATGAAAATAATCGGTTAATATTAACTTTAGGGTTCGTGGACTCAGACACTCGGTTGATAAACCAACCCAGAAAAAGACAAACTTCTGGTTAAAGTTGAAAGATAGTTAATATGAGTCAACTCGGTCCATTAAACGAGCTCCTCCAGAATATAATTAAATAATACTAATCAATCATTCTTACACGTCACATCAACTTTAATTCACTATTCATCCAATCACATAATTTTAACTAATCATCACTTCATAATCATCTCTCTCATACTTTAACATTAAATAAGTTTTAATTGTTTTATTTTAAATACTATATTATTTTAATATAAAATTCTAAATCTCACTAACAATTAACCATACCACATTTTTCAAATTAACCATGGTTAACAAAAAAAAAATCATTTTAAGCAGAAATTTTTGTATCCAAGCACGCCATTATCTTTCGGAATTACCTAAACATGCTCTAAAGCCTGAAGATTTACAAAACGACACACTTACCCACACGACCAGATTCTGCTCGCCGGGCTTTTTACTAAAGTCCATGGCCTNCTTTCCTATTTCTATTTCTATTTTTGCATTATTTCAATGGTATTTCGCTTGTTAGAAGAGTACGAGTTTAAAAATTATGTCCGATTTTTCTTGATCTTTACGCATTTCGCTATAAGTACTCTATAAATCATATCAGGACAGGTAAGATTGCAACGTGGAAACTAGAAACCCATTGGTTTGGCTCATAAAAGCTCAAACTTAGATCATTCACTTACTTAAACAAGTCATGTTGCTCGAGCTCGTTTATTAAACAAGCCGAGTTGAGCTTATTCGCGAACAAGATATTGTCCATTCCTTTTTTTCACGGGACTTGAATGAAACAACCGATTAGAGCTTGTTCGTGAATGAACTACTAGTTTATGGTTTATTAAACCAGCCGAACTACACTTTCACGAGCTGGTTTAAACGAGCACGAGTTCAAAATAAGGTAGGGGAATTCAAAGTTTTATAATTAAACTTATAAAATACTCCTTCATTTGCAATTTATTTTCGGACGTTAACTAGACTGGCAGTGAGATACACCACTGTTCTTATCTAGCCACGGCTGTCCAAAACAAGCTGTTTTCTAAAGGGAAATTATTTCAGTCTTTGGAGACAGTTGGACCAAAAAACAGCTGGTTAAGTTCTTGCATGTCCAAAAAGACCTGAAGAACAAGCACCCTAGAGGCTAGAATTTACATGAAGGACCCACATAATTTAAGTTATCCTTTATGGATAACGATATCCAAACAGTTATAATCTTGAAATGTATCACAATTTTAAACAAAGTTCTCATTTTCTTTTAAACAACTCTCAACCGTGTCAATCGTGTGTCTACAATAATACTAACATTAGGACAGATATAGAGGAGCTGGATCCAACTATTCATATCTACTCACAATGACACATAACATTAGTAGGTTGATAATAATTTCTCCTAATGTGTTAACAGAACAGGAAAAAAAAAGAAAAGTAACTTCCTCTAATGAGAAAGGAACTGTTTTCTTTCACCTTAAATATAGAAAGGAATATTTACATGTCAGGTGCTGCTTTCACTTGCTGGTTCTGCCCGTCGATCAAACTCAACTGCCTTCTGAGCCTTGCAATATGCGCTTGTACCTACGCATACACAAAAATTGTAAACTAAAATTTATTTTCACTAGAGAGAAAAAAAAATGTGATGCTAAAAAACTGTAGTGTCACATAGTTAAGAAGATGTTCGGGAGAATAATCAAGAGTTCTTAGGGGTTTTGACATTTGAACCGAACAATGGTCTAAACATCAAATTATTAACTCATGTAAGGGGAATGGAAACTAATCACGATAAGAGTGATCACAGGAAGTTCACATATCATATTACTACTTCACGAGTTGTGCTGGTCAAAGGCATGCATATAGACATTGTTTTTTTCTTTGTTCACAGTTCTTGCTTGCCAAACAAGACTTTGTGAAGTGAAAAAATCCAATATATCACAATTTTCCATTTTTCTGAAGAAAATTTCAGTAAGATTGGGCATTTCTGATCAGCAACCCAACTCCATAAATACTAATTGAAGTTCATTAATGCCATAACTCCTAGGGAACTAAAAAGTAGCACAAAAAGTAACACAGAAGATATCACTTTGTCAATTAACATTTCTTTAAAAAAATATGGATTTTCTTTTCTCCCTGTCTCTCTTTTTCCCCAGTCCTTCAGTTATTCGGGAATAGCAAAGCTGCCATAATATTTCACAGGAAATTTATAATATAACATTAGATATACCAAAATGAGTAAATAAATTGACCTGTTGCCGAGCAGCAGCAAGTTTCAATAGCTCATCTGCTTCGGAGAAATTAGTAAACCACTGGTTGAGGGGATGATCTTTGGTGTCACCTTTGTTCTTGTTCTCAGTATCCTCAGCTGGAACACATATACAGAATATCATTACCCAAGCATTATAAATAAAAAATAAAAAAAAAAACACCATGAAGTACATTAAACAGGAAAAACCTAAAATAACCCAAAATGGAAGGATGAATCAAAACCGCACCAGGAGGCAGAGTGAATCCCACGGGCAATCTAGGCACAATAACCGCAGGATGATTTTGCACACGAGCAAAGAAAGCCTCAGAAGGATCCGAGAGAACAATCTCATCATAAGACTCCACAACAACGGGTTTCTTGATAGACAGCGGGCCTGATTCCTCCTCGGGATATAACTTCAAGTGGTGGTACCTATAAAACATGTCATGCCTAGAAAACGTAAATAGAAACCTTGGGGCTGTATTCATTTGGTATTTTTCTAAAGACTTTTTAAGACTTTAGAAATCTTGGTGTATTTAATTTAGACTTTTTAAGACTTTTATAAGTCTTGGGGTATTCATTTGGGATTTTAAAAAGTTTACGAAATCCCACTCTAAAATCTGTTGGGATTAATTGAGTCTAATTTGTTAAGACTTTTTAAAATTTGTTGGGATTTCTAAAGAAAAAACCTTATACGAAATCTCACTCAAAATACCACATCCAGACATAAAAGTTCACAGGATTCCTCCATGTGAAAATCTTAAAAAGTCTCAAAATATCACTCGAAAACCCAAACGAATAAGTACAAACTACAAACCCACAAACAAGTCACATACTTGGGTACACACCACACACATAAAGTACACAAACTCACAAGTGCAGTGGTTTATCTGTGATATCACTGTGAAAATGAAGGGTAATGGCGATTTCGAACTCGCCCCACCCAGACTCCGAGACCTCAAAGGGCGGGTTATCAATGACCCTTGTGGGGTTATTGAAACTCGAATGCAGCTGGAAAACAGCTCGCTTTACAGCCACTCCCAGGTCCTCGTTCGTTGCTCCACGGACATAAACCGTCCATTTGTGCGACTGATACCTGCAGACATAGAAAACCAAAACCGCAAATGAAGGAACACATAAACAAGCATTTCATCGAGCACTTGATGGGCAATGAACAAAATTAAAAAAAGAAAAATGAAAAACCAACCAAATACTCACTCGCTTGCCTTCTTGCCAAGCCAAAATGCAATATTACCATACACAACGGGGATACAAATTTCTGAATCTTTAAGCTTCTTAGCTGAACTCTACATTAACATGAAAAAGTAGGCTTCGACCTTAGTAACTGTTAGATGATTTGATGTAATAATACAAAGATAAAGAAACAAAAGACTCGCCTTTTTTTCATTTTCATCCGAGGGTTTAATTATTTTCGGCCGCTGCGATTTTGACACAGAGCCGCTAGCATCCGCTTGTTCAGCTCCGTTCTTTGGAGGCATTCTGCGTTTGGACTTTGGAGGAAAAAGAAAAGGGGGATAATTCAATAAGTTTTTCGAATTGAAATTAGGGTTCCAAAATCGAATTGGGGATTTTTCAAGTGTGTTGAGCTACTAGCAAGTAGCAACAGCCATTACCTGGGTTGGAGATGATCTGGTGCGGGAAGGTCTACTGTTAGGTGTTTGCTGACCAATCAAATCGAAAAGAATTCTATTGTCCTTGTGAAACTAGCCAATATATGGGGTTATAAATGGGCTGGACCGAGTTTGGCTGAGCTCGAGCCTTTACGAGTTAAGTCAAACAAAGCTTGATTTGTTAACTAAATGAGTCAATAATATAAATTCTTACTTTCGAGCCTACGAGCGTAGCGAGTCGATCTCAACTCGTTAACTAAACTAACTTTCAAGGAACTCGAGCTCGACTCTTTTATCAAACGAGTCGAGCCGAACTCGAGTATTAACGAGTCGAGCTGACCTCAAGAACGTCTCGTTTCGTTTAACAGTTCTACATTTGTTGACTATTAATATTCAGAATAAGTGACGCGTGGAATATCCTCACGTTTAGTAATAACCGAAAAATATGATTAGGATTTTGACGAATAATGACATAACCATACTTTTGCATAAATTCTTGTACAAAGTAGTCTAACCATTAATCGGTCACTCATTAAAAAAAATTTCCCGCCAATTTGAAAATATACATATATGTTCGATAATGTCTGAGGATGCGGCAAGTGACCGTGGACTAGTTGGTGAAAGATGAAATTTTGGTAATACATGAATGAATGAGTGTAAAGGCCTTTTTGTGGAGTTTTTAGGGTGTTTTTGCTAGATGTGGGCTTAGGAAAGAAAACAAGAAAAGAGACACTTGAGTCCAGAAGCCTTTTATCTTCTTAATGGCCTGCATGTCTTTTGATTATGGTCTTTCATATCCAAGTTAAAAAATTTCAACTGTTACAAACCATATCAAAAATTTTCGAACGAAAAATGAAAGAAATTTATGGTATATATAAACTTGCGGAATGCGGATTGAGAAATCTCAGTTTGCACCAGGAGCTCGCTTTATCATCCATGTTGAGTAGTGAAGTTCATATAAACTACAAGATTTAACGATTTAATTTATGTGCCACAGTCAGACTAACCGATTTTATTTTTATCGATAAACCATATTGAGTAAAGTTCATATAAAGCTTAGTAGCAACTCAAGCTCTTTTTATCTGACAGTCTTGCTTGTGGATAGAATAATAGGCAGAATATGAACTTAATGCAGAAGGAAAGAAAGCTAGAAGAATATCTGAACTGTTTATAACTCGTATAGAACAAATAAAACGAGCTTTTGCATTGAGATTTGGTCGACTAATTCTCTCGCGTAAGCACATCTACTATAGTTTTGTCGGAAAGTCCATTTTCATTTACTGACAGTATCATCTATCTAAGTTTAATAAATGAGCTAAAAAGAAAGAAACAGACATTTGTCTCAGAACCTAATTAATTTTAAAAAAAAAAAAAAATTGATCTTGTAAAATACAAAGTAAAATGTATCCATCATGTTCTGGTCAAACGAGACGTTAGATCAATGAACAAATCCTCACTGCAAGGAATTGTAAGGCCTCCCATTGAGTGATGAAATCCATATTCTTCCTCAGCTCGAAACAATAGTTCTTGAAATGAATGATGGTTTAAATACGAAACGGGAATTATAAATCGTTTTTTCTCATATTCTCCAACATAAACAGCAAAATGCCCCTTTGGAACTTCAGCCGATCTTTTTTCGCTGGATAAAGATCGTCTCAGCATTTGATGGACGGCCATTTTTCGAATATAAAACGTATCTTTTTTTTTAGGTGAAATGAAAAAAAGGCCGTTGAAGTTAAGAGAGTTTGAATGGTTTTTAAGGATTTGTTTCTTGATCTGATCCAAAAAAATGTGTTGTATATATAGATGAAGGAATTATTGTAAAGAACATGAATTTAGTAACCACATGCATTTGCCTTCAGACTGTTATGATGATGAAAACTATTAAGACATAATGACAATTTATGTGATGGAAAAACATTGTACCTTCCCAACTATATACCAACATAGCCTTCAAATGACCCTACTGCAATAAACTCTATATACATACAATTTGTATATGAAAAATAATTTCTACTTAAGAAATGCATATGGTTCAGTATTTCATCTTGTTTCTATCAAAAAAATAATTTCATGTGATTTGTTATGTCCCATGTGCTCGTGTTATTTCAAGTTCAAAAACAGGACACCAAATATCTTTTTTCACTCTATCTACCACACACAATCTCCATTTCTTACATCAAATTTTTGTTTTCAGCTATATAAAATTCACATTTACCATATTGATGAAAGAAGAGAAATTATATTATGGCTAAAACACCATACTCGAAAAAACTTATCAAGAAAAGTCTTTCTTCATAGATTAGATTTTGCTGGAGTACATAAAATAAAAATGACCCTTCAACAAACTTATAAATGTAAAAAAATGTGAAGTATGGCCCAAAACCTATAACTCCTTGATTAAAAATCACTAAAATATGTTTTCTTTTCAAACCATAATATGACCTCATAATTTACCATGACAAACAATACAAACCCACCATGCATTTAAGCCATTTAATGATGTTTAAGAGCCTCTCTGTACAATATCAAGAACCTAACACTTTTATATATATATACGTACACATTAAGTAAGCACAAAATGGTACTTTGATTTATATTCGATGATTGAACGACATATCCATGTGAACTTTCATTGGCAAGTTGTTTTTTTTTCCTGGTGATTATATATAAGGTCCCCCCATTTATATTAATTCTACAATATTAACCACAAATTGTATGTATGTAGAGTTTATTGCAGTAGGGTCATTTGAAGGATATGTTGCTATAGTTGGTAAGGTACAATTTTTTTTCCATCACATAAATTGTCGTTATGTCTTAATATTTTTCATCATCATAACACTCGAAAGGCAAATGCCAGTGGTTATTAAATTCATGTTCTTTAAAATAATTCCTTCATCTATATATACAACACATTTTTTTGGATCAGATCAAGAAACAAATCCTTAAAAACCATTCAAACTTTTTTAANGATTCGCTTTATATTCGAAAAATGGCCATCCGTCAAATGCTGAGACGATCTTTATCCAGCGAAAAAAGATCGACTGAAGTTCCAAAGGGGCATTTTGCTGTTTATGTTGGAGAAAATGAGAAAAAGCGGTTTATAATTCCCGTTTCGTATTTAAGCCATCATTCTTTTCAAGAACTGTTGTTTCGAGCTGAGGAAGAATTTGGATTTCATCACTCAATGGGAGGCCTTACGATTCCTTGCAGCGAGGATTTATTCGTTGATCTCACGTCTCGTTTGAGCAAAATACGATGAATGTTGTAAAAATATATTAAGGGATTAACTAAACACTCATTCTGATTTTCTGTTTACTACTTACACAACACATAAATGATACTTTTTTTTTTTAATTTCAATGCAAAAGGCATTATTTGATTCTATTTGTTCTGTATGAAATGTTGTAAATAATCTGTTCCTAGATTTGGTCAACTTTTTCAGACTAGGAGAAAAGAACACAATAGTGAAATTGGTCATCTGATCTGATGCCGAGAGAGAGGCCCTGACCGTGTACCAAAGATTAGGTTTAACTAAAGCTAAAAGAGTAAATATATATAAATACATAAGATACAATGTACACTAACACATACATTTTACAAAGAGTATGGATTATTTCAAAGAACAATAAAATAAGAGAATCAAGATAAATTAAGGGTGGTTTATTCAGGAAANTAAAAAAAAAAAAAAGAAAAAAAAAATAGTAGACACTTCTGTTAAGTAAAATGGAAAAACAATTTTGTTCTAGAGCCTAACTAATAAACAAATTTTCAGAATGACTGTAATAAGTTCATGTAAATCGCGAGACAATTGTTAACTGTTGAAATTAAAACATTCAATAAACCTTTTTTCTTGTAGGATCACATGGAGTATGTTGGGAAAAATACGCTGAAATTTCCATGAAGTCGGATCTATAAAAATGAAATAAAAAAAAAATTGGACACACCAATTTGATAACGGAATTCAGCCAATAATGTCTACGTCTCCAGACTACTGCAGATATTTTATTGGGAAGAAAAAAATACATTCGTGTTTACAAAACACTCTCAAACTCACTCACAACTTACAACTCAAAAACACACACAAAGGCTAGATTATTTTTTTAACTCACTCTCCCTTTTTCTTCTTGTATTTTGGTTGTGTTTTTGGTGTGTTTTGTTCATCAATTTGCTTTGTTCATCAATTTGCTTCTATTTATAGTAGAAGAATGCAATGTAAATTGCACTCCATTGTCAAAAAACAACACCTTCATGACACCTCCAATGTGAAAATGCATTGTGAATTTTGTCAAAGTTTGGCACCTATCACCTAACTTTCAACAATCTCCCACTTGAGGACTGATTTCAATCTGTCCTCACACCTCAATTACTGCAGTAGTCTTCTCAGGTCTGTTACTCTAGCAGGCCAACTGAAGTTGAGCACAACTTCAGTTTGTCAATGGTCACCACCTTCGTTAGAATATCTGTCGGGTTCTTGCTTCCTATAATCTTCTTCAAAATCAACACTTCATCCTCAAGAAGAGATCTGATGAAATGGTATCGTATGTCAATATGCTTAGTTCTGGAGTGAAACACTGAGTTCTTTGTCAGATGTATTGCACTCTGACTGTCACTGTGCAAGACACTCTCTTTTTTAGTGAAACCCAACTCTTCTAACAATCCTTGAAGCCATATCAATTCTTTACTAGCTTCTGTCACTGCTACATACTCATCCTCTGTAGTGGATAGAGCAACAATCTTTTGTATCAGTGACATCCAACTAACAGCTGTAGCTCCGACAGTGAAAACATAACCGGTGGTGCTTCTTCGGTGATCAACTTCTCCTCCAAAGTCTGCATCTACGTAGCCCTGTAACTCTAGATCTCCTTTTCTAAACTACAAACATTTTTCTGTTGTACCTCGTAGATATCTAAAAATCCATTTGACTGCTTCCCAATGAGCTTTTCCTGGATTTGACATAAACCTGCTCGCAACTCCCACTGCATGACCAATATCTGGCCTCGTACAGACCATCGCGTACATCAAACTTCCAATGGCTGAAGCATAAGGAATCTTAGCCATGAACTCTTCTTCTTCCTTTGTTTGAGGAGACTGGTCCTTGGATAGACGAAAATGACTAGCCAAAGGTGTACTGACTGGTTTGGCCTTGTCCATGTTATGTCTTTGCAAAACACGGTTGATGTACTCCGCCTGAGATAACTGCAAAACTCCCTTTTTTGCTTATCTTTCGTGATTTGCATTCCAAGAATCTTCTTTCCTGGGCCTAAGTCCTTCATGTCAAATTCTTTTGACAACTGCATCTTTAATTTTCTGATGTCTTTCATATCTGATCATGCTACTAACATGTCATCAACATAAAGTATCAATATGATATAGCTGGACTTATATTTCTTGAAGAAGCAACAGAGATCAGCATTGCACTTCTGGAAACCTTCCTTGTGCATGAAGCTATCAAACTTCTTATACTACTGTCTTGGAGCTTGTTTCAGGCCGTACAAGCTCTTCTTCAATTTTCACATCATATCCTTCTTTCCTTCTGAAAAACCTTCAAGCTGGTGTATATAGATCTCCTCATCTAGGTCTCTATGAAGAAATGCAGTCTTCACGTCTAATTGCTCTAGATAGAGCTCTTCACTAGCCACAATACTTAACACAGTCCTGATAGTATTGAGCATTACAACTGGAGCAAAGATTACAGTATAATCAACTCCTTGTTTCTGTTGAAATCCTTTGACAACCAGTCGGGCTTTGTATCTCCTGGAACCATCATGGTCTTCCTTCACTCGATACACCCATTTGTTGTGAAGTGCTTTTTTCCCATAGGTAACTTCACTAGTTCCCATGTTTGATTTGAGATCAAGGACTTCATCTCGTCCTTCATGGCAAGCTCCCACTTGCTAGCATCTGTGGTTTGACAAGCTTTCATATAGTTTTCAGGCTCCCCTCCATCAGTCAACAGCATGTAGTCCATGTATCTCCTGTTAGGCACATGGGGCCGAGAGGACCTTCTCAATACAGGAGCTGGAGTATGAGGTTCTGATTGCACATCACTTTCTTCATTTGATTCCTCTTACTGAGGACTTCTCATTATAGGACTATCTGGGATATCTTCCACATCTGCATAAACTGGCGCACTCGTTTGTTTTCATCTTCTGATTGCACTCGTTTGAGTTGCTGACACATGTATTATGCCGGTCCTTGTACATCACTCTTTCATTAAAGATGACATCTCTGCTGCGGATCATCTTTTTGTTTTCATCATCCCATATGCGGTAGCCAAACTCATTTTCACCATAACCAAGAAAAGTACATTTCTTTGATTTTGGATCAAGTTTGTTTCTACTTTGATCACTGATGTACACATATGCTACACACCCGAAAACTCTAAGATGTGAGAGTTTTACTTCTTTTCTGGTCTATACCTCTTCTGGTAACTTGTGATCCAATGGTACCGATGGACTTCGGTTGACCAAGTAAGTTGTTGTGTTGACTGCTTCTGTCCAGAACTGCTTTGGTAGGCCTGACTGCACACGCAAGCTTCTGGCTCTTTCAGTCAATGTTCGATTCATACGCTGAGCTACACCATTGTGTTGAGGCATACCAGACACAGTTCTCTCCATTTTGATCCCGTGCTCATAGAAAAACTTCTTGAATCTGGTGGTTATGTATTCACCACCATTGTCAGATCTGAGCTTATTGATCTTCAAGCCTGTCTCATTTTCCACCATAGCTTTCCAAATCTTGAAAGCTTCAAATACTTCTGACTTGTGTTTTAGAAAGTAAACCCATACATTTCTGGAGTGATCATCGATAAAAGTCACGAAGTATTGCTTCCCACCAACGGATGGGACAGTCGTTGGACCCCAAACATCAGAGTGGACGAGCTCAAGCTTCTCCTTCTTTGGAGTTCTTCTACATGTTTGAAAGCTGACTCTCTTCTGCTTTCCAAGTATACAACCTTCACACATGTCAATTTCTATTGACTGGAGGCCTGGTAATTTTCTTTTTGAGTGAAAGATCTTCATCCCCTTTTCACTCATATGCCTAAGTCTTTGGTGCCATAGATTGGGATTTTCATTTGCTGCAACTGCAATCAGATGACATGCTCCAGTTGTTTTGTAAAGAGTATCACTCTTTTTGCCTCGAGCAATTGTCATCGTACCCTTTGAAATTTTCCAATCATCACCATGGAAGATTGTCGTGTAGCCTTCACTGGCTAGCTGGCCCACTGAGATTAAATTTTTCGTCAGGTCGGGAATATGTCTGACATTTTTCAATTCCCATACAGACCCACTCAGCTTGATGTTTATTGCACCTTTCCCTACAACCTCGCATGATTGCTCATTACCAAGGTAAACTTTACCAAGATTACCAGGAACATAATTTTCGAGTAGTTCCTTCTGTGAGGTAGCATGAAAGGATGCTCCAGAGTCTAACACCCAAGACTCTTCTCTGTTCTCTAAAGAACATACCAGCATATCTCCTCTTGAGGATGAGGCAATATTTGTCTCTTCTTTTGCCTCCTGGTTCTTTGGTGCACTCTTGCACTCGTTTCTGTAGTGCCCGGTCTTCCCACAATTCCAACACTCGATCGACTTCGAGTCTTGGGAACTACGATGATTTCTGGACTTGGATCTTCTTCCATTTGATTTGCCGCGTCTGGTTTCTTTAGTTGAACTTCTCCCTCTTGACTCTGTATGCAATACAGAAGAGGTCGATGGTTCACCGGACTCTCTCCGCCGGATCTCTTCACGGAGAACCAAATTTTGAACATCATCAAATCTCAACTTATTGCTTCCCGATGAGCTACTCACAGCCGTGACTGTAGCATTCCAACTTTCTGGTAGGGAAGACAAAAGTATTAAAGCCCGTACTTCATCATCGAACTCGATCTCAACTGAACTCAACTGGGTTGTGATGGTGTTGAGCTCATTAAGATGATGTGCCATCGAAGCACCTTCGGTCATCCAAAGGTTGAACAATCGCCTCATCAAATGAACTTTATTTGAGGCTGATGGTTTCTCGTACATGTTGGAAAGAGCCTTCATGAGGTCTGCTGTCGTCTTTTCTTTTGCAATGTTAAAAGCAACATTACGGGACAACGTAAGCTGAATGGCTCGAAGGGCTTGTTTGTCAAGAAGACTTCATTCTTCCTCCTTCATGTCTCTGACTTCTTTCCTGTGAGTGGTTGATACATATTCTTTTGGTACAGATAATCCTCGATCTACATCTTCCAAAAGTCAAAGTCCGCACCATCGAACTTTTCAATTTTATTTTTCTTTCATCTGCAACCATCACTTCGAATCTGATCTGACTTCACTGTCTGATCGTTTCTGCAATTTTTGTGAACTACCGTGTTTCAAAACACGTCGGTAGATAAATTTTGTAGCGCCGACAAAATTGGCACTATTCACGTTTTTTTCACTATTCACGGAATAGTAACACCACACAAAAAATTACAAAATTAACAATCTGGCTCTGATACCAGTTGTTGGAAAAAATACGCTGAAATTTCTATGAAATCGGATCTATAAAAGTGAAATAAAAAAAATTGGACACACCAATTTGATAACGGAGTTCGGCCAATAATGCCTACGTCTCCGAACTACTGTAGATATTTTATTGGGAAGAAAAATACGCTCGTGCTTACAAAACACTTTCAAACTCACTCACAACTCACAACTCAAAAACACACACAAAGGCTAGATTATTTTTCTAGCTCACTCTCCCTTTTTCTTCTTGTATTTTGGTTGTGTTTTTTGTGTGTTTTGTTCATCAATTTGCTCCTCTATTTATAGTAGAAGAATGCAATGTGAATTGCACTCCATTGTAAAAAAAACAACACCTTCATGACACCTTCAATGTGAAAATGCATTCTGAATTTTGTCAAAGTTTGGCACCTATCACCTAACTTTCAACAGAGTATTTATACAGGTACATCTTAGTATCAGCTCAAGCATTTTTCTTTGAAATTATTGTATAAACAGAGTCCAATTCCTTAAAATAAGACAATTTGCACTCTAATAAAGGCAAAATTTGTGACGTATACTAAGTAAATTCTGAATAAAGTTGATTCGCTGGAACATCATAATTGAAATGTAAAAAGTAGGGCCCCAGACCCTCATATAGACTATGATTGAACATGATTAATGTTTCCTATCGAAAACTGCAATACAATCACCTGATTTCTAAATAAAAAAACTGCAATAATTGCACTTCACTCCCTATTTAACGTTTATTTATAGTCTGTTTACACAAATATAATTCCTCATCTCCACAAAAAAA